TTAAAGATTCAGGAAAATAGCTAAGCCAATCTCCTCCTAGATCTTCAACTATACATTCTCGTAACTCCAACACTTCCAAGTTTCTGTTTTGGAAACAATCAGACAAGAAAAAAACCGAAGTTACACTATTTAGCTTCAAAAAATAAGTCTACTTTTGATTAGAAACCGAACCTGCAAGTTGCTGCAATGGCGGCGAGACCATCAGTAGTGAAACCTTCACAAGAAATCAAGACAAGTGATTTAAACTCCTTAAACGAAGCAGCGATCATCTCCAAGCATTCATCAGTAACCACCATTCTCTTTAACCTTATCTCTTCAAGCGCCGGATTTTTCTTGGCCAAGACTTCAATCCAAGGCCAAGCATAACCACCCCAACCATCAGGAACCAAGTTGTAATCAGCAAAGTGTGGTTTCCCCTTCAAAGTCAAAGATCTCATCTTCGGAAACCGCCGTGAAACCATCGTAGGACTCACCGCGTAACAGTTTCCGACAAAGACACGTTTCCTAGTTCGCCTCTCTGTATCGAACCATGACTTACAGACCAAAGAAACAGAGTTCCGGTCTTCGTTGGAATCGATGAAGGAGAGGATATGCTCCAAGACCTTAGATGGTAATCGGAGACCCATCAAGAGAGAGATGAAGAAAAAGGTTTGAGATTTGATTCCAATATGAGTGATGTAAATCTAAAGATCGAACCTTTGGAGATATATATAAACTGTGAAAGTGGAGAGACAAGAGTGTGATTAGACAAGAGAAGAAAAAACAGAGGAGACAAAGTCCATGTGAGACCATTAATAAAGTTTAGCTGGACCCATGTGAGTCTATGCAGCCTAATGTGTCAGTCACTAATTTGCCTTAATCATAATTAGTCCACTAGTCCATGTGGTCTCTGAGATTCTTTGATCTAAAACACTGATTGAAATTTGAGAAAATTCTCATTGGTTCTTATAAAACACAAGAACTATATCCAATTTTTGTCGTTATGTACACGTGTCACAGATATAACTTATCCAACAAGAGAGAGATGTGTCTGAACCTCCCTCGCTCGCATGGCGAATCCTCTAGACTCTGAGTTCTGGTTTAAACCAAATCTCATTTACCAAACACTCAAGAACGGCGTCGTATTTCTGTTATCAAATTCTGATGAAAAGTCTTCACTTGTCGTCTTCTTCAATCTTCCACCGGTTTGCTTCTCGCAGCATCGTGTCCTTACCCAGAAGAAGAAATCGTGTCCGTGCGATCCATCCTTCGTTTTTTGGCCCTTTCTCGACGATTCTCTCGAGACCCATTTCATCAGGCAAGGTCTTGGCCATGGCGGAAGAGACTTCTTCGTCTTGGACCTCGTCAACATCTCAGAAACATACAAACCGTTTAGCAGCAGAACACAGCCCTTATCTTCTTCAACACGCGCATAATCCGGTAATTAGATTCGCCTCGTTCTATAAAGTATTCATTTTTCTTCAAATATTCATACTAAAGAGCATCTTTGATTTCATTTGGGCATCTTCAGTTTCAATTAGGGAGCTAGCTTTGTTGCAATTCGTTAAGTCATAACTGGTTATAAACTGATTTTTAGCTCAAAAAGCATCGAGCTTTTTTTTAATCTGGATTGATTGGTATTTGCATTTGAATTGATTTCATGGTTCATGTTAAGGTTGATTGGTATCCATGGGGAGAAGAAGCTTTTGAAGAAGCAAAGAAGAGAGACGTGCCTATCTTCTTGTCAAGTTGTTTACTTTATCCTCTCTTGATCGTTTTTACTGTTGCTGGATTACATGTCCTTGATTATTTTTTTTTTTTTTACACTGATTTGGTTACCTTTTGTTTTTCAAAATCTCTTTTATGTGGAATCTTGAAGTTGGATACAGTACCTGTCACTGGTGAGACTTCAATAGTATTTCTGGATGTGTTTGAGTTCTGTTTATACTGAATTGATGGAGTAAGAGAATGAATGACATATCAAAAGACTGTGGAATTGTTAGTATAATAATTATGTTTCTTTCCTCATAGGTGTAAGCTTAGTGAAGCATTTAAGGGTTTCTTTATTACGAAAGTGGAGCAAACTTGTAGTCTAAGAACTCGTCTTCTTGTTTGGGATGTCAGGAGTAGGGAAACAGAGCAAGAATGATCTTATTTTGTGTTTTGGAATGTATGTTTCATTATCAGTTAACTCTTTTGTCAGGTGCCATGTGATGGAAGTTGAGTCATTTGAAGATGAAGAAGTGGCAAAACTCTTGAACGATTGGTTTGTTAGTATCAAGGTTAGATTTTATTGCGGAAAATTCTCTCTGGCTGTTGATTATAGAATGATGTTATAAGGCAAAACCTTTGAGCTGGTTGGTGTGGAAAACACTTTGCCAACTTGTTGTTTAACAATTTTGTGTAACAGGTGGATCGTGAAGAGCGGCCTGATGTCGATAAGGTAAGCTAGTGTATGCATGCATAATATCCACTAGCTGTCTTGAATACATGCCTCGAAATTCAAAATCTCATTTATTTCTCTGAATGCTTAGTTTCAGAGATATCATTTCAATTTCATTCAATAATGTTCTAGGTGGAATATATAGGTTTCATTACTTTGTTAAAGAATATTTGCATGTTGGGGAAACTCCAGGGAGAGATACAAAACGATAGTAGACTTGTACTGAATTAGTTCTTCTTGTAATCAGTTTCTTGAAATATGGTAAAAGTCAATTTGACTACATTCATGGGCTTGATTTATGATTTGTTTTACTGGTGGTACTTTTAGGTTTATATGTCGTTCGTCCAGGCTCTGTACGGTGGAGGAGGTTGGCCACTATCGGTCTTCCTATCACCTGATCTAAAGCCATTGATGGGTGGAACCTACTTTCCTCCAAATGACAATTATGGAAGACCAGGATTCAAGACGATACTTAAGTAAGGAATCGCCTTCTCTTTTGTTGTACAGTAGCATTCTCAGTTCAAGATGGTGCTATTGGTACAGTGGCATGTACAAAAATGAGCTCAAAGACTATACTTGATTCGATTATATTCTCCCTGTCTACTTTGTGTTTGGTCCAGGAAAGTGAAAGATGCGTGGGACAGTAAGAAGGATACTCTTGTGAAGAGTAGCATATATGCTATGGAAGAACTGTCAAAAGCTTTATCTGCAAATGCTGAAACTGATAAGTTGCCAGATGGGCTTTCTCGGGTAGCGTTGAGTTTATGTGCCAAACAAGTATGATTCGGCTCTAGTGTACCCTTAGAAACATAAGTGTGATTGATATATCAACGTAAAGAGCCCTTCTTACAGTAAGTGTCTCTGTTCCAGCTTTCTCGCAGCTATGATTCGGAATTTGGCGGGTTTGGATCTGCACCAAAGTTCCCGAGGCCTGTCGAGATCCAGCTGATGCTTTATCATTCCAAAAAGTTGAAAGAAGCCGGGAAAACTAGTGAGGCCGATGAAGACCAAAGTATGGTTTTATTCAGCTTGCAAGGCATGGCAAATGGAGGGATGCATGATCACATTGGAGGCGGATTCCATAGGTACAGCGTTGATGAATGTTGGCACGGTGAGACTTCAAATAAGTATCCTTAACTATCGAGTGGATGAAAAAAAAATCTGATGCCTTTTGCTATCTTTCTGGTGCAGTTCCACATTTTGAGAAAATGCTATATGATCAAGGGCAACTAGCTAACGTCTACCTTGATGGTTTCATCATTACCAAGGATGTTATGTATTCTTATGTGGCAAGAGACATACTTGATTATCTGAGAAGGGACATGATTGCACCTGAAGGTGGAATATTCTCGGCTGAAGATGCCGATAGCTTTGAGTCCGAGGGCGCAAAGAGAAAGAAAGAAGGAGCATTCTATATATGGACCAGCGACGAGGTTCTTTTCTCTGATATATACATCACTTCTATCGCGCTATCCTCCTCTCTTAGTGAACCTTCAGTCTTTTTATTTTTCTTGTTTTGTTTCAAGATTGATGAAGTTCTCGGGGAGAATGCAGATCTTTTCAAGGAGCATTATTATGTTAAGAAATCAGGTAACTGCGATCTTTCGAGTAGGAGTGACCCGCACAACGAATTCGCTGGGAAGAACGTGTTGATCGAAAGAAATGAGCTGTCTGCCATGGCATCAAAGTTTAGCCTCTCCATTGAGAAGTACCAAGAGATTTTGGGTGAATGCCGAAGAAAGCTTTTCGACGTCAGATTGAAGCGACCTAAGCCGCATTTAGATGATAAGGTGAGAAAGTTCTTGGAAACCTTTTTGTTGCCTTCTTCGACTGTTTCTTCAGCTCTCTTAATCATTTAAGATTTCTACTCTTTCTTAGATAATCGTGTCGTGGAATGGTCTTGTTATCTCGTCTTTTGCAAGAGCTTCCAAGATTCTCAAGGCTGAGCCTGAAAGCACCAAATATGGTTTCCCTGTGGTGAATAGTCAGGTAATGAAAGCTACGCCCCGCCCTTTGATGTCTTCTTTGACCATTGATTTTTCTTATCCGGAATTATCATTACAGCCAGAGGATTACTTAGAAGTTGCAGAGAAAGCAGCTTCATTTATCAGAAAGAATCTCTACGATGAGCAATCACACAGGTTACAACACAGTTACAGGAAGGGACCATCAAAAGCTCCTGCCTTTTTAGACGATTATGCTTTCTTGATCTCTGGTTTGCTCGATCTCTATGAGAATGGAGGTGGGATCGAATGGCTTAAATGGGCTATTAAACTTCAAGAAATCCAGGCAAGTGATATAACTACTAGCTCGATTTCTTAAAAGTTTTCGATTTTGGCTAAAACTTGAAGACATTTTAGGATGAGCTATATCTCGACCAAGAAGGAGGAGCCTACTTCAATACACAAGGACAAGACCCGTCGGTTCTTCTCCGTGTGAAAGAAGATCATGATGGTGCAGAACCTTCAGGGAACTCTGTATCTGCTATTAACCTTGTGAGATTAGCTTCCATAGTCGCTGGAGAAAAAGCTGACTCCTACCTAAACACCGCACATCGTCTACTGGTAAGCAAACAACTAACTCTATTTGCTATTCATCTTTTAAGGATTATTGTCTGTCGTCTCTCACATCTGTTGGCTTTGGTTCTTTGTTACTTCTTGCAGGCGGTGTTTGAGTTGAAGTTGAGAGAAATGGCGGTAGCAGTGCCGTTAATGTGCTGCGCTGCGGACATGATCTCTGTTCCGTCGAGGAAACAAGTTGTGTTGGTTGGTTCTAAGCCTTCTGTAGAGCTCAATCACATGCTTTCTGCAGCACATTCAGTCTACGATCCTAATAAAACGGTAAGGATCTCTAAAACTGATCCTGAGTTTTTCAGTTCAACGAGAGATTTACGATTTTTGGTGGGTTTTTTTTTCTGAATAGGTGATTCACATTGATCCTTCGAGTTCTAATGAAATGGACTTTTGGGAAGAGCATAACAGTAATGTAGCTGAAATGGCGAAGAGAAACAGAAACTCTGAGAAAGTTGTGGGTCTTGTTTGTCAACACTTCACTTGTAGTCCTCCTGTCTTTGACTCTTCTTCTCTCACTCGCTTACTCTCCAAGTAAAAACACAGAAATTCCATGTTGTAATAGTTGCTTGTGCTTTAAGGAACAAGGTACTGTAACAGAGTTGATAAATAGAACAAGAAAGGAGATGTCTTTAGCTAAAGGGGCTTATGGAGAAATCTAAACGGAACTTGGCACATTTGTTTTGGTTGAATTAAACCGGA